AAGTCAAAAATCAAACAAAATCTGGGAAACATATTTGCAATTCATTTAACAACAAAGAGGGAATTCCTCCAATATATGAAAAGCTCCTAGAAATTATGATAAGAAATGGATAACCAATCCAAGAGATGATAGGAAATAGATAACCAATCCAACAGAAAAACGGGCAAAGGACATTAAAAACAACTTCACAGAAAAATGAATTCGGGTAGCCCTTCAACGTATGAAAAGATGCTCAACTTCACTCCTAAGAGAAATGCAAAGTATATCATTATTCACCTATTGTATTGGCAAAGAATCAAAAGCTCAATAACCGTCACTGTGCTGGCTAGGCCGTGGGAAAACAGGCCCTGTCATGTGTTAGTGGTAGGATGCAAATCAATATAATCCCTATGGGAGGCAATCTGGCCACATCTCCTTGAACCAGCAATCCCATTCCCAAAAATTTAACTTACAAATAAATTGGCACACATCTGCAATGACATATGTAATGTAATCTACTATATTATTTTTCATTGCAAATAAGTCAGTGTCCTCCATTAGGAAATGGTACATCTACACAATGGAATACTACACATCTATAAAAAAGAACACAGAAGTTTTTATGTATTGACATGTAAACACAGTCACATTATTGTGAAGTGAGTAAAGTACAGATCAGTGAGTATAGTATGATTTTTCTTGTGTGAAAGGAGGAAAATAAGAATATTCACACCTTCCTATATTTCCATGTAAAAACACTGGGAGGACCCTGGCACAGTGGCTCAAGCCTGTAATCCTAGCACTTTGGGAGGCTGAAGTGGGTGGATCACTTAAGTCCAGGAGTTCAAGACCAGCCTAGGCAATATGGTGAAACCCTGTCTCTACCACAAAAGTGCAAAAATTAGCCATGTGTGGTGGCATGTGCCTGTAGTCCCAGATGCACAGGAGGCTGAGGTGGGAGGATCGCTTGAGCCTGGTGGAGGATGCAATGAGCCAAGATCATACCACTGCACTCTAGCTTGAGGGACAGAGCCACACCTTGTCTTAAAAAAAAAGAAAAAAAAACACTGGAAGGATACACAACAAATTAAAGTCATCTGTAGAGAAGGGATGGAGGGGAGAGATGAGCTCACAGGTAGGATTAAGACTTTTCACTGTTACATGGCCGGGCGCGGTGGCTAACGCCTGTAATCCCAGCACTTTGGGAGGCCGAGGTGGGCAGATCACAAGATCAGGAGATCAAGACCATCCTGGCTAACATGGTGAAACCCTGTCTCTACTAAAAATACAAAAAATTAGCCAGGTGTGGTGGCAGACACCTGTAGTCCCAGCTACTCAGGAGGCTGAGGCAGGAGAATGGTGTGAACCTGGGAGGCGGAGCTTGCAGTGAGCTGAGATCGCACTACCGCACTCCAGCCTGGGTGACAGAACAAGACTCCGCCTCAAAAAAAAAAAAAAAAAAAAAGACTTTTCACTGTACACTTTTCATTTGAGTTACACATCAAGTGCAATGTAATGCCTGTTAACAACATAAAATATTTTTTATTAACATCACCACTTTGGAAGAGAATGTCTTAAGAAGTTAAACATATACCTGCCATATGATCCACTGTACTCCTGGTATGTCATTTCCAAGAGAAATGAAATCATATGTCCATGAAAAGACTTGTATGTGACTCTCATAGCCCTTTGCTTATAACAGTAAAAAAGAGAAACAACCCCAATATCCCTCATCAGGTGAAACCAATTGCAGTCCATCCATACAACATCATACAATGAAATACTACCCAGCGATAATAGGAACCAGCTATTGACACACATAGCCACATGGATGAATCTCAAAACCGTGATGTGAAATTTTAAAGGTTTTAAAAAAGAGTACATAATTATGATTCCATCTACACAAAATTCTAGAAAATACAAACTAGTGATAGAAAACACATCAGCAGTTGCCAGTGGGTAGGGGTATGGGGAAGGAGGCACGGATTGCAAAGAGGCAGGAGGAAATTTTTAGGACATGGAAATACTCATTATCTTATTTTGGTGAGAGTTTCATGAAAGAATATAGATGTTAAAGCTTCTAACTGTATACTCCAAATACGTACAGTATTGTACATCAGTTATACCCTAATAAAGTTGTTTAAAAAAAAAAAAAACCCACAGTGTAATTGAGGTGATGGGGAAGGAATGAACTAAATCTATAGGTATCTGGTTTAAAATATCTTGAAAATATAACAGAAAAAAGCAATACTGTATTTTGGTTATGGACACCTTTCTTTAAATGTTCAGTGGAGAGGATTGACTTATTAAATGGAAGAGAGACAGAGGAAGAGAAAATTTTAAAATTTTGAAAGACTAGAAGTCATATAGGGTATGTTCTCAGACCACAATGAAATTAAACTAGAAATCAATGACAGAAAGCTGGAAAAGCTGCAAATTAAACAACATATTTCCATACTTCTTTTTTTTTTTTTTTTTTTTGAGACAGGGTCTCCCTCTGTTGTCCAGGCTGGAGTGCAGTGGTGCGATCTTGGTTCACTGAAACCTCCACCTCCACAGTTCAAGCAATTCTCCTGCCTCAGCCTCCCGAGTAGCTAGGATTACAGGTGTGCACCACCATACACAGTGCCTGCCACCATGCCTGCCACCACATCCAGCTAATTTTTTTGTATTTTTAGTAGAAACAGGGTTTCACCATGTTGACCAGGCTGGTCTCCAACTCCGGACCTTAAGTGATCTGCCTGCTTCAGCCTCCCAAAGTGCTGGGATTACAGGTGTGAGCCACCGCACCCAGCCTAAACAACATTCTTCTAAATAATCTATGAGTCTAAGAAGTCTCAAGAGAACTAAAAAATATTTTGAACCAGAAAAAATGAAACTATAACTTATCAAAATTTATGGGATGCTGCTAAGGCATCCCATAAAAAGCATTTGTGCTTACAGAGAAAATTATAGCATTAAATGCGTATATTAGACAAGAAGGTCTTAAATCAATCCTCTAAGCTTCCACTTCAGAAAACTAGAGAAAGAAGAGCAATTTAAACCTAAAGCAAGCAGAAGAAACTAAGTAATAAAAATTAGAACACAACTTGAGGAAAACAACAGGGGAAAATCAACAAAACCAAAAGTTGAACTTTGAAAAGATCAATACAATTGATAAAACTCTAGCCAGGATAACCAAAGAAAAAAAGAGACAAGACATAAATTACAATATCAGAAATGACCAACAGCAAGCTATCATCACTACTGGTCCCATAGATCTCATAAGGAGGATAAAAGAATATTATGAACAACACTATAGCCACACATTTGACGGCTTAGTTAAAAAGACCAATTCCTTGAAACATACCAACTACCAAAAGGCAAACCATGCAAGGCCTGCAATAATAAAAAATGTGAAAAAGCAAGATGGCTTCTAACCTTGACTTCAATGGGCCGCATTAGCTAGGGGAAAAGAGTTGGCAACACAAAGGTGATGGGTAATGAGAGGCGCACAAAGGGCCAGCTGGGAAGGCTTCAAAGAGGAAGTGTGTCTAAAACAGACAGGGAAGGACACTTTTACCAGGACCTCACAAGGATGTCTCAGAACCAGCAAGTCCACAGTATTACGGACTGAATTGTGCCCCCTCTGACCCCAAAACTCATATGCTGAAATCCTAACCCCGAGGGCCTTAGATTGTGATTATTTGGAGATAGGGCCTTTAAAAAGGCACTTAAGTTAAAATGAAGTCATTAGGATGGGCCTTAATCCAGTATGACTCATGTCCTTATAAGAAGATTAGGATACAGATGACACAGACACCAAGCTCCTGCACCGAGTGACCATCACGTGGAGACACAGCAACAGAGTGGCCACCTGCAAGCCAAGGAGAGAGGCCCCAGAGGAGACCAAACTTCCCAGCACTTTGATTTTAGACTCCTAACGTCCAGATGTGTGAGAATATAAATTTCCACTCTTTAAGCCACCCAGTCTATGGTACCTTGTTATAGCAGCCCAAGCTGAACTCATGATCCTTCTCTCCAAAACCCATTCTTTCCCACAGTCCGACATCCACCCTGAAGGACAGCCAGAAATCCCACCCTTACACCTCACATTCAATCTTGTAACAGGACCTGTCTATTTTACTACTCAGCTCTCTCCTATCCATCATTTCATACCCGGATGACCTGCAAAAACCTCTTCAATAGTTCTCCATGTCCATTCCAGTCATGCTCTGAATCCGTTCTCCCAATGCCCCCAGAGAGATCTTTTCAAAACACAAATACAACCTGTCATACGTCACCCATACCCCTACCCCTTATGGCCCTTAGTGGCTGACCACAGCTTTTAGAATAAAGACAAACTCTATACCATGGCCTATGGAGCTCTGCCCAGCCTCCACCTCTCTCTCCCCAGCCTCACTGGCTTTCTTCAGTTGCACGAAGGAACGAACGATGCTCTTTCTTGCCACAGGGCCCTTGCACATGTTGTTCCTTCTGCCTGGAATGCTCTTTCATCACCTGGCCAACTTCCCTTCCATCGCTTGGCTAACTTCACTCACTCTGATCTCTAGCTTAAGCACTACTTCCCTAGAAACCCTCTGGGACTTCCCCTCCCAAGTCTGAGTCACATTCCTTATGATAAGCACTTGGAGAAGTGAGTTCCTTTCCTTCAGAAGCCTTCTCAAAGTTTATAATGAAACACTCTTTTGTGAGAGTCTTTGTTTGATACCAGTCTCCACTACCCAGTGGGAAGCTCTGGGAGAGCAAGGACCATTTCTCTTTTTGGTTCACCATCAAGTCCTAGCACCTGGCACAAAGTAGGTCTGAACTGATGCTTACTGCATGAATGGATGAATGAAATTATGAATAGGGGAGATGGCACTCCCAGTATGGGAAAAAAGATACTTAAAAGGTCTGCTGAGACCACCATTCCTGTAGTTTGGCAAAGCCTGAACAGTGCAGTCTGTGAATATAAAAGGTTGTGGGAGAACCCCAAAACCAACACCCACATCACACATGCATGCACATCAGGTACATACCCAAATTCTGGAAGGTCTCTGTCAAAATGCACACTTTCCTCGTAGAAGACATTCAACTCTGCATCAACAGCAACAACCTTGACCTGGAAGGCATTTTTAAAAATGAAGTGTAGAATTTTCCTCAGCTTCTACACTGGTCCAGGGGGTACTAACATCACCAGATGAGGCCCCACACCCTAGGAGCAGTTCAGCCCAGAGACCTCCTTGAAGGCAGGGCTGCCTCACCGTAATTGTGGTAACAGAGGACTCATCTGGGTGACACTCAAAGATTTAGTAAAATGAAGAAACCGAGGCTGAGGAGGAATACCCACATGTCTCAAGGAATCTTTGTTCCCCAAACAGCCAAAGCCAAGATCCTCTAGAGGAAGATGTTCACAGATGAGTTGGTTCATGCACCTGACAAGGAGGCAGGAGAAAGTGCCAGAGAGGAAGGAATGGGAAGCAAGGTTTGGAGGCATCTCTGGGGGTCCCTGTTTGCAGAGGCCTGAGGCCAGGCAAGGCCATGGGCTGTTCTTACAGGCCATGGTTGTGGTCCAGAAACATTAATACCCCACGGAAGCGATATCCAAGCTTGGGAGTATAATCACTTTCCTGGACACCTGGGGAAACTGAGGTCTAGCAAGGCAACTCGAGTCATCCAGAGTCCCACAGGACTTTCACCCCAAGGACTGGCCAGAGGCCTGCCTCCCTTGACCCATTCGAGAAGAGGGGTTTGACTGCAACTGTGTATACAAAAGGTGCCCCTGGTCACCCCATGCCCTGTTTGAAGGCAGATTTTGAGTTGCTTGCCTGTTTGCAGGGCGTTGGCAGCAGCACATTGTTCCTCTGACCAGCAGTCCTGGGTCCGCAGACCAGGCAAGCTGGTGTCAACGAAGGGCGGTCACAGGGTAAAGTCCATTTGTACACTATGCATTTCACTTTTTTTTTTTTTTTTTTTTTGAGACAGGGTCCCGCTCTGTCGCCCAGGCTGGAGAGCGGTGGCGCCATCTTAGCTCACTGCAATCTCCACCTCCTGGGCTCAAGCGATCCACCTCGGCCTCCCGAGAAACTGGGACTATAGGTGTGCGTCACCATGCCTGGCTAATTTTTTGTATTTTCTGCTAGAGACGGAGGTTCTTCCACATTGCCCAGGCTGGTCTCGAACTCCTGGGCTCCAGCGATCCACCCACCTCGGCCTCCCAAAGTGCTGGGATTACAGGCAAGAGCCACCAGGCCTGGCCCATTTCAATTTTTAAAAAAAGGTTTCGGGCTATAATTTGCTTCCAGGTCACTGGTCGTGCATGTGCGCAGGGCTACCCGCCTGTCTGTTCCCCTGCCTTACAGTAGCTGTTCGGGTCCCTGTCACTCGGTGCCCATAACAGCAAACGAACCCACCGAGTCCTCCCGCCCCTCTGGGCACCGGGGGTCCTGCCGAGGGACGCCCGCAGTTTCCTGGGGTAGCGAGGTCTAGGCGGGGTCGAGGCTGCATCTTGCGAATGGGTGGCATTGGCAGGGCATCTCCGGGCGAGGGCACCGGTGCCCCACGGCCGCGCGCGGGGTAGGGGCGCGGGGGGCCCGGGAAGCCCGAGAGGTAGGCGCGCCCGCGGCCGGGCCCATGTTTTTCCCGCGTCCGGGTGACAGCCCGCCCCTACCCCCAGCGTAGCGGAGGAGGCGGCCCCGTGGCCCTGCGACCAGGCGACTGTACCTGCTGCGTGCTGAAGTCCCAGCCCAGGCAGCAGCGGCGAGGGGCGTGCTCCGCCATGACCCTGGCGGGTAACGCTGCGCGTCCGTCAGTCCGTCCGTCCGCACCGCCGCGCTCCAGCGCCCAGAGACGCAGGGGCCCGCCCCTCGCTCCGCCCGGCCGGACTGTGGACCCGAGTCACGAGGCGGGCTTGCGCTCTGGCGCCGCCTGCGGGACGACGCGAGCCGGCACCGCGTCCTGGGCAATCGACGGTGCCCCCACGCAGCCGGCTTTCCTTCCAAGCGCACCCACTCTGGTCCTCCCCATCTTCATCTTCTCTCTACATGGGCCTTGCCTTGACACAGCCTGGCTTCCCTTAGAGGACGCCTGGGCCAGAGGTTTCAGCTAGAAGCCAGCTTGTCTCTCAGAGGGACCTTGCCTGTCCTTCTGGAGGCCCTATGCCTGCAGTGCTCTGTGGCTGTATCTTGGCACTGGAACAGCTGTCCACCCATGGGGGTGACTCAGGGGCCACAGGGAAATGGGCCCTGGGGTTGGAAGCACTGGATCCTGACAAGCCCCGCCTAGATCCAGCAAATCTGAGTGGTTCCCAGTGTGTCACATCCCTGCCGTGTATTTAAACTCAGAGCTCCTGACGCCCCCACGGGGAGACACTCATTCCTGGAGTCAGCTGGTATTGATAGTCTAAATGTGTGCCAGACGTGGTGAAGGGGAATGGGAACCAGAGTCAGACTCACTCCCTTTATTCATGGAGCTGAGGGCACCTCTCCCACTAGCTACATCCTCCTGGTCCCTAAGACTGACTGCTTTCCAGAATTCCTCCGCAAACCCAGCATGTGAGAGTCTCCTCCTACCAACTTCCCAGCCCACCAGTGCCCTTCTCATGCACTTGCAATGGTCTGTCTCCCTTGCTGAACTTGAGCTGCTTGGAGTCTACATGGGATCCTCTTCATTGCTGGAACAAGAAGGGGCCAACTTGTCCTCCAAGACATTCACAGCTTATTGGGGACACAGCCCCTCTAGCAGTCACCACCTGTGACAATAGACAAATACTGGATACTAGCTAGATCGCAAACAATTAGGCAACCTGCTGAGCACATTTAATCCTCACAATGATGCTGGGAAGTAGGTAATATTATCTCCACTTTTAAAACATTTTAAATAAAGGTATCTAATCTAATAAAGGTAACTAATCTAATTAAGATTAGATTACTGCATTTTAACCTAATCTTAACTGCTTGATGACTTTTTTTTTTTTTTTTTTTGGGACAGAGTTTCCCTCTTGTCACCCAGGCTGGAGTACAGTGGCATGATCTCGGCTCACTGCAACCTCCACCTCCCAGGTTCAAGTGATTCTTCTGCCTCAGCCTCCCATGTAGCTGGGATTACAGGCGCCCACCACCATGCCTAGCTAATTTTTTTTGTTTTTTGAAACAGAGTTTCACTCTTGTTGCCCAGGCTGGAGAGCAATGGCGCAATCTCAGCTCATCGAAAACTCCGCCTCCTGGGTTCAAGTGTTTCTCCTGCCTCAGCCACTCAAGTAGCTGGGATTACAAGAGTGAGCCACTGCACCTGGCTCTAATTTTGAATTTTTAGTAGAGACGGGGTTTCAACATGTTGGTCAGGCTGGTCTCGAACTCCGACCTCATTTGATCCACCTGCCTCGGTCTCCCAAAGTGCTGTGATTACAGGCGTGAGTCACCATGCCTGGCCGATGATTTTTTAAAAATGTATGTATATACCCATATAAACATTGAGATCAAAACAGAACATTTCCACCACTCCAGAAGTTTCCTTCATGATCCTTCCCAATCATTAACTCCCAAGGCAATCACTATTCTGATGTCTGCCAGTATAAACTCACTTTGAACTTTGTATAACTTACCATCTTCATTTTACAGAGTAAGAAACTGAGGTGTAGAGAAGTTAATTAACGTGGCCTAATGAAATTGCCATTGCGAAATTATAACTGAGAGAGTGAAAGAGATCTGACTTAACCAACTCCATCTTGCTTCTAGCCTTCAAGCTGTCATTGCTTATTCCTGGGCATAGGCAGAACTAACTCTGGGAGGAACTTACTTTATAGTTTAAAACAAAGATGATAACAGCATCCCCTTCTTACCTGTGACTAGACTGCCTTTATAGGGCTAACAAATTAGCTACAAGATTAGAAATTAAGGTTTAGGAGTCATGCAGCTGAAGACTACAAGATTCTGACCATCTCCAAATTGCTCCTGGGGATAACATCACTATTGTGCTTGAGGTATTTTAGAGACCCTGCACTTGATGGATCAGCTGGCCCCACCCAGATCCATAAGCTGGCTCATATGATCTTGTGGCCTCCACCCAGGAACTGACTCAGCGCACGAAGATAGCTTCAAATTTCTGAGTTCATTTCTGGCCCAACCAATCAGCACTCCCAACTCACTGGCCTCCACCCACCTACCAAATTATCCTTAAAATCTCTGATTCCCAAATACTCTGGGAGACTGATTTGAGTAATAATAAAACTCTGGTCTCCTACACAGCTGGCTCTGTGTGAATTACTCTTTCTCTATTGCAGTCCCCTTGTCTTGATAAATTGGCTCTGTCTAGGTAGTGGGCAAGGTGAACCTGTTAGGTACTTAGAGCTCCTTTGCTCAGATCGTTGGACCACTCCTTCCTTTGTACAGAATGAGGTGTTGCCCAATTCTAGAATCACAAATAAAATCCATTTAGGATCTTTAAACTAAATTTGTTGTAATTTTGTCTTTTGACAGGAGATATCAGCTCCCAATAAGAGTGGGTTAGATTGCACAGAAAGGGCTCAGAGTGGACAGATGAACCCCCATAGGGAGCTGTGAAGGCTATCAAAGACACAGAAAGAGATCATGAGAGGGGCATAATGGTGGAATTCACTAGACTGAGCTTGTCCAACCTGCAGCCCATGGGCCACATGTGGCCCAGGATGGCTTTGAATGCAGCCCAACACAAATCAGTAAACTTTCTTAAAACATTGTAAGATTTTGGGGGGGATTTTTATTGTAGCTCATCAGCCATCATTGGTATAATTTATGTGTGGCTCAATGTGGCCCAGGGAAGTGAAAAGATAGGACACTCCTGCACTAGAACCTTCCTGGGAGGTGGGGCTTTTGACAGGGTCACGTGCTGCCTAGGAGCCTCTCCCTCAGGCTTAGCACTAAAGAGGACAGGTCATTGAAACAGCAAGAGCAGGACCACGGACCTTACTTTGTGCCTTTTGGCCTGAGCTGCTTTCACAAATTGCCACAGATTGATGGCTTAAACGACAGGTATTTATTTTCCACAGTTCTGGAGGTTGGGAATTCTGACATCAAGGGGCTGGCAAATTCAGTCCCTGATGAGGGCTCTTTTCTTGGCTTGTAGACAGCAGCCTTCTTAATGTATACTCACATACAGCCTTATTTCCAAGTGTGCATGTGGGGAGAGGGAAAACTCTCTTATCTTTTCCTCTTCTTAAAATTTAATAATCTCATCATGAGGTCCCCACCCTCCTGACCTAATCTAGATCTATTTACCTCCCAAAGACCCCATCTCCTAATACCATCACATTGGGGTTAGGACTTCAGTGAATTTTGGAGAGACACAAACATTCAGCCCATAACTGTTTAAATACTTTTAAAATTCAACACCGTTTTGAAGATTTATTAATATTCATGTGTATATCTAATCCTGTGGTTCCCAAACTGTGCACAAACATGCTCTGGGTAGCTGCAGGGAGCCTATGGAGGTGCTCTGGGATACTTTCCATTTTGGTGGGAAACACAGTGATGCAAAACATCTGTCAGGCATCATGTGAACCACTAACTTGAGGCAGTTCACAGTTCCAGCATTAGACTGCTGCATTCCTTTCCATGACATCTTATTTTTGCGAAGCTGTATTTTCAGCAGTTGCAGTGACAAGCAGATACTACATGAAAATCAAGGAGAAACAAAATAAGGGCACAGTGTCCAATCTGACCCCAACATTTGAGAAGCCACATGGTGCCCAACAGGCACACACATCACATCCCCTCAGTAAATAATTCTGGTTATTTAAGAATGAAATCTAGGCTGGGCGCGGTGGCTCACGTCTGTAATCCCAGCACTTTGGGAGGCCGAGGTGGGCGGATCACAAGGTCAGGAGATCGAGACCACGGTGAAACCCCGTCTCTACTAAAAATACAAAAAAATTAGCCGGGCGCGGTGGCGGGCGCCTGTAGTCCCAGCTACTCGGGAGGCTGAGGCAGGAGAATGGCGTGAACCCGGGAGGCGGAGCTTGCAGTGAGCTGAGATCCGGCCACTGCTCTGCAGCCCGGGCGACAGAGCGAGACTCCGTCTCAAAAAAAAAAAAAAAAAAAAAAAAAAGAATGAAATCTTTTTCCCTCCAATGTATGTGTATAAATTTCTTCAAAGAGGTACTAGTGTGTTGGTACATAAATACATATTAAGCTGTTTGGACCATCTACTTAATGACAGAACAGAATGGCTAGCCAGAGCTGTTAGCTATTTCTTTTGGCCTAGGAACACTGTGAAGACATTGGTGCGTGAAGTGAGAATGTTTGCGAACCCCTGGTCTAGTTGATCATATTTGTGAGTGAGCCAACACCACATTTTATTATCCAGGCCCCCAGTGAGCGACACCTGGGTGGAGTCCAGTTCCGTGCAAACAGCATTGCATGGAACGTCCTCCCCCATGGCCCTATGGACCTGTGTAAGAGAAAGTTTCTGGACTTCATGTCTGAGAGTAGGATTTATATGATGTGTGCATGACTGATTGGACCAGAGAGTGCTGGAGTACTCCTGAGAATGGCTGTGCCAGTCAACGCTCCCGCCTGGAATGCATGAGGCTACCCCATTCCTACCCCATGTATTTAGCACTTGGCACTTTCATCCTTCTAATTTTTTGCCGATTTAATAGATGAGAAGTGATTTCCCTTACTGTTGTAATTTGCATTTTTTCTCATTATTGATGAATTGGAGCATTTCTTCATATAGACTCATTGGCCACTCAGGATTTCTCATTCAGTGAATCCCATACTTATCCTTTGCTCATTTCTCAGTTGAGTATTTTTGTCTCTTTCTTGTGGATTTGCAGGAATTTCTGGATGTTTCAAGATGTAAACCCTCTGTTCATTTTAGATGTTGCAACTCTCTTCTCCCAATATGTCATTTATCTGTTAACTTGATCCAACTAACCTTTTGTTGACTGGAAATCTTTAAATTGAATATAATAAAATCTATCAATTTTTTTGCCTTATTGTCCAAGTTATTTGATCTTAAGAAGTGCTTCCCCACCCTCGGTTCACAAAGATATAATCCTATATTTTCTACGAAGACATTAGCCTACATTTTTTTCTATTAACAAGATCTTTGAATTTCACATTATTAAATTTTCTTTGAATCTAGGCATTTTTCAGCTGAATAAATTATCATCATAACAAACCAGTGAAAATG